GGGCTCAGCTTTCTCCAGAGTACACCCCAGTCCTCGCCCATGTCCTCACACTAATTTCTCCATCCTCCCCAGGACCTCCCCTATCTCTAAATCCCCAGAGGATCTGGAGCAGTCTACTGAGGACTAATAACAAGGAATGTCCGTTTGGCATTGCACATGAGTCATGCCCAGCACTCTGCTCCTCACTACAGCAGGTATTATCAACCTCATCCCCAGTGACAGGGGAAGAGGCAGGGGCTCAGAGAGGCTAGGTGGTTTCCTCAAGGTTATCAGGCTCTAAGGGGCAGGTTAGGATTGGAGCCCTGGCCTTTTTAAAAGGTCATATTCTTTCCCCCTTTTGTTCACGAGGCCAGCAGAGTGCCCCGAATAGGCTCCAGTTTAGTTTCTTTCTCCTGCTTTCAGGTTGTCCTGCTAATCCCAGGACCCACTTGTGCAGTTCCTGCATCCCACACCTGAGTCCCACCAGGGCCGCCATTCCTCCCTAGTGCGTTTCTCTCCTCTCCCTCACTTTCCCCTGACCCAGGCCCCTCTCCCTCCAGAAATGGCAGCAGAAAGGCAGAGGGCCTCAGACTGGGCAATAGATTTAGGAGGCATGTGCTAGGCCCTGGGCTATTACTCCGCTTGGAAAATGGGAGAACAATGGAAACACAGCAAGCCTCATTCTTGGGACCTGCTTGCTCCTGGCCTGGGCCAAGTGGCCTGAGTCTGAGCCTCACCTTAACTTCTTCCTCCAGCTGCCTCTTGAGGTCCTCCAGCTGCTGGGTGTAGGTAAGCTTGCCTCGGGTCAGCTGGGAGATCAGCGCCTCCTTCTCATCCAGCTGCCGGGACAGCTCACCTGGAGAGGCACAAAGGCACACTCAACTCTGGAAGGTCAGCTACCCCTCTCTCTCCCCACCCCTTCCCCTTAGACCCCATTCTCTGGAGATAGGTGTGTATGTATGTGTTTGTGTGTGTGTGCACATTTGTGTGAGTGTCTACCCAAGGCTGGGTGGCTGAGGATGTCAGGGGAGATGGGGGGGGGCGGCGTGGCTCACCATTCTCGGTCTGTAGCTTGGCCCGCTGGCTGGTGAGGTCGTTGACTGAACGTTGGGTCTCCTCGGCCTTGCTTCGGTGCTCATTCATCTGGTCTTCCAGGGTCCGGCACATCTTCTCCAGGTTAGCCTGAGGGAGGAAGGGGAGTCATATGACAGATGTAGGGGGCACTGAAGGGTGGTAGGGGGTGCAGTTACAGAAATGAAGAGGAGAGACATGGAAGGGAGAGGGAGAGGATGGGAGAACAGGGTTGGAGAAGGGAAGTGGGAAACTGAACCGTCAGAGAAGAGAGGAGACATGGACAGAAAGTGGAGGTGGGTGGAGGGAGTTGGGTACGAGGACGGTGAGCAGGCAGCCTACCTTGGCCTTGATGATCTGCTCCATGTTGGAGGTGACATCGTCCAGCTCCAGCTTGAACTCGCTCTTCTCCTTCTCCAGCTTCTGCTTCACGCGCTGCAGATTGTCGATCTGCTCGCTCAGCTCGGCCACGCTGTCCGCGTGCTTCTTGCGCAGGGCCGCCGCCGTGGCCTCGTGCTGCAGCGTGGCCTCCTCCAGGTCCCGCCTCATCTTCTGGAACTCGGCCTCGCGCTTCTTGTTCATCTCGATCTGCACGGACGTGGCCCCACCAGCCTCCTCCAGCCGCTCGCTGATCTCCTCCAGCTCCCGGGACAGGTCTGAGCGCAGCTTCTCCACCTTGGCCCTGGCGGTGCGCTCGGCCTCCAGCTCCTCCTCCAGCTCCTCGACGCGAGCCTGGCCCGGGACACAGAGGTCTCAGCCCCACCGCCCGGAGCCGTCCGGCGGAGCCCCCACCCCAGAGCTCTAGGACGTTCCTGGCCTGTCTGGAACAGCAAATCTTTTCAGTTCTACCGGCAGAGAAGTAGAAATAAAAGGATTTGGAGAAGATGTTTTGGACAGCTGAACTAGGCTTCCTTTAGGCCAGAACATTATACATGTTCTATTGGAAAAAAAGTGGTTGAAGCTTGCTCTTTAAGAGGAACAAAGAAACCTGTGTTCTAGGGATATTTTAAGAAGTTTAGTGGCAAAAGTATTAAAAGTTTAGAATGAGAGAGCCATGTTTGTCCAAAGACCTAACATGGTGTCTGCTCGAGGGGTAAGAATCAAAGTCACAGACCATCAGGGCTAAAGGGATCTTAAACGCCATTGGTAACAAGAGAGGACACAGAAACCCAGATATCAGGAGTGGGCACCCCACAGTTGCCAGCTAAACCAGAGCTGAGACAGGAAGCCAGGATTTCTGCCCCCTACACCTGTGACCTTTTCAAGGTCTCTTCCTGTGTCATCCTTGGATCACCCAGCCCCTCCTAGGGGTGCTCCATGGGTGAACTGTGGTAGCTCAGCATCTCCCTTCATGGACACATAGCAAGTTCCTGTAATGTTGGGGAGAGGACATCCTGGAGGAGGGGGTGGAGGAAGCTGACGGCCAGCCCAGGGGCTCCAGCCTAGGCATCCCACAACTTACCTGAAGCTCTTTGAGCTTCTTCTGCAACTGGCTACCCAGGGCCTGCTCATCTTCAATCCTTGCATTGAGGGCATTCAGCTCAAAGTCCTTCCTGTGGGGAACGAGGGAGAGTAAGATGAAGAAGGTCGGCTGGGCAGCAGGAGGGCCTGTCAGTGGTTGGAAATGGTGATACAAAAAGACGAAGAGCAGGATTCCATCAGAAAAATAGCATCTGGGGCTGATGTAGGGTCCATGCTGAAGGCCTAAAGTCCAGCAAGAATGTAATGGGCAGAGCACCACAGGTGGAGTGACAAGACCTGGGCTCTGTGGGACTTCCTCTCTGGTCCTGTAGAATGACGGCATTGGATTAGACGGTTTCAAAGGCCCCTTTTAGTTCTGATGGCCTTTAATTCTATCACTGTTACTTTGGGCACTTTGGTTAAACTTTCTGAGCCTTTGTTTCCTCTTTGGTAAAGTGGGCCTCAAAATACCATCCTTAGAAGGAGGTTTGAGGATCCTTGGGATCATATATTCCTTCATTCATTCAACACATGGTGTGCCTGGAGAAGTGTGAGGACTCCTGGGCAGACACAGGCCCCATGAGGATGTAATCATGATGATTCTCAGAGCCTTTCAAAGTCCAGACCCTAAAGCCGCATAAGATCTTTGATTATCCAAATCTACCCTGTAGGCTCAGTTTTTCAAGTGTGGGAGGTGGATCTGTACATCTTGGTAGGACTGGCAATAAGAATTGGATCCATGAGTTAATCAGACCCCTGCACTGCTCAAGCGTGGTGGCTGACCCATTTCTCTGTGGTTGTCAGAGCTCTCTGAGAAGGACCCGAAAGGCCTTTCCTGAGAGGCTTTTGTGTGGAGCCTTCCTCGGTGTTAAGCAACTGGTCTCCAAAGAGACTTGTGTGTAGAAGGAGGTAAGCTATGAGTTTCCAGCCCACTTCGCTGCCCAACAGGAAGAAAAGCCTTGAGGGATCCAGGTTAGACTTTCTGCCAGGGAGGACTGCAGGGCCCTGCTGCATGTGTCTGGGGAAGGAGAGCCCTCTTCCTGGAGGCCTCTGCCCATGGTTTTGCACCCACTGATGGAGACTGCGTGAGGCTCTGGCCTCTGAGGATGGACATGTTGGGGCAGCTTGCGCTGTCATAGGTAGAACAGGCTGCTGAGCTGTGGAGGAGGAAAGGCACTGGGGAGGGGAACACGCTACTTTTTCAGCCGCTCATCCAGTTGCTGCTTGTCGTTCTCCAGGTCCATGATGCTCTCCTGGGTCAGCTTCAGGTCACCCTCCAGCTTCCGCTTTGCTCGCTCCAGGTCCATGCGCACTTTCTTCTCCTGCTCCAGGGATCCCTCCAGCTGGTGGGTAGAAGGACCAGTGTGCCCCGTAAGACAAATCATCCTGATTTGGTGATTTGGAAGCTCAGTCACTCCAGGTTTGGGGAATCCTAAGAGATGTCCAGGACTTGGAAAAGCTTCCCCAGAGTGGGCCAAGGGACTATGAGACTGCTTAGCATTGAGGGATGCCCAATAACTATTTGATAATGATTTCATGAATGAATTTCATGAATGACTGTGTGATGAAACCCAAAGCTCCATTCATTCATTCAGCAGCCTCCTGCAGTCCTGTGCTAGGCATCTCAGATGCAAAACTGAATCAATCCAAGTTCTCTCACCTAAAGACAGCTTACAGTGTTATGGCTGAGAGAGATACTTCGATAATGATAACACGGGTGATAAATGATCCAATGGAGATATGCACAGAGAACTAGCTGTGGAACAATGATCACTGAGGGCCAGATCCCGCTTAAAATATTAGAGGTCCAAAGATCCTCAGAGCCTCACAAAATTCCCAAAGAAATGTATTGGATTCTTATGTGATAACTCTCTAGACCCTGTGGTCGAAGGTAGAGATATAAAGGCTTGAACCTAATTGAAAAAAGGAAGTCCATCTCTATTGTTGATCATATCAATGGGATGAGATACATAACGCATAATTGATCATGCTTCCCTTTGTCTATTCCCCAGCTCCCTTCTAGAAATGTACCAAGGGAGGGAACACTCTCCAATCCCATCCTTCCAAACACACACACATGCACACACACATACACACACACATACAAACCTGGTATATCTAGGCCCTGTGACAATCTACTTACATCGTCCACCTGCTGCTCCAGCTTGACCTTGGCCTTGGTCAAGGTATTGACCTTGTCCTCCTCAGCCTGAAGGTCATCCAGGGCCTGCTGGTGGGCTTCTTGCAGAGCCTTCTTCTCTTTGGTCAGCTTGGCGATGATCTCATCTAGCCCAGCCATCTCCTCTGTCAGGTTCTTCACCTGTTGACCAAGAACCCCATCCCCTTTAGGGTCAGAGGTCATCGGCCTGGAGACATCTATGAGGACGTCCAATGCTAAGGACCAGGACCACACCATGGTCTAGGAATCCTGAGAAGACCTGGGCTAGAACCAGAAGGAGCTGCCCTCACCTTGTTCTCTGTTGCATGCTTCTCCTTCTCCACCTTGGCCAGCGTCAGCTCCAGGTCATCAATGTCCCTTTTGAGCTCAGAGCACTCATCTTCCAGCTTGCGCTTCTTGGCAGTGAGCTCTGCATTCATCTCCTCCTCGTCCTCCAGCCTCTCGGTCATCTCCTTCACCTTGGCCTCCAGCTGGATCTTGTTCTTGATCAGCTGGTCACAGCGCTCCTCTGCATCAGCCAGGTTGTCTTGTTCCTGAGGACAAGGCACATAGGGGAGGCTTTTCAGTGGGCAGGGTCTTCAACTTGGCAGGTGCAGGGAGGGAGAGGCTCAGCGTGTAGGAGAGGAGCTCCAGGATATCTCCAGCTGAGAAGAACCTCAGAAGGATGAGGAAGGGAAGAATTTCAGGACAATGTGATGGGAACATGATGGAAGCAGAGAGGAAGGGAACCCAGAAGTTTCTTTACTTGGCCCTATTCCTCTGGTCTACTCCACTGAAGGGAAAGAACTGCATTTACTGATGCCAGCACTTTACATATTTATCGCCTGGTGAGATGGGCAGCTTTATCCCTGTCCAGAGATGAGGACATTGAGACTCAAAGATAATGCATAGTTTGCCTAGGTTCAAAAAATTACTGAGCTGTGGATGCAGGTTGAATCCAAGTAGAAAGCCAGTGTTTTTAAAAGTTGGTTCTTTCCCCCTTCCCTTTTTTTCTCTAGAGGGACCTCCTTGGAGGTCTTTGGAGTCTTGATTCCAGAATCCTGTGTCTGTGAGAGGACAAGGGGAGCCCTGGGTGGGAAGGTGCAGGATGTGTGGGGAAATGTCAGCTGAGCAGGGTGGGCAAGTCTACAGAGGCCCAGGAGCCTCACCGCCTGCACTTGGAGCTGGAGATCATTCTTCTCCTGCAGCAGGGACACCATCTTCTCCTCCAGCTCCTTGCGGCGAGCCTCTGACTTCTCCAGCGCCTCTTTGATGCGTGCAAACTCCTCCTTCATGGTGGCCATCTCCTTCTCTGTCTCTGCACTCTTGAGTAGTGGCTTGATCTTGAAGTAGAGCTTCATCCAGGGCCAGTTCTTGACCCCCATGAAGGCCCGAATGTTCCACTGGATTATCAGCAGGGAGTCTCTGCAGGGGCCCAGCAAGAAGGTGGTGAGAGAGTCCCATCTCTCCTTCCTGTCCTGAAGCCCTGACTCCTAAGTAATAGCCCTTCATTCCTCTATGATGCCCTGGCCGTGAGGCCCACCCTAGGTCCATAGGAGCCCCCTCCTGCTGGTCTGCTTATTTCAAGTCTCAGTGAGCTTTTTCCTGACACTGCCCCTGAATCAGCCTGGGCCTTAGATGGCCAGGAGCCTCCTTTTGAAGCCCTCACCTGCGTTCCAGCAGTTTCTTGTACTCCATTCTGGAGAGCACACCCCGAGACTGGGCCTGGATGCGGGTGATGATGCGGCTCAGCTTCTCATCACGCATCTCTTCCAGCAGCCCCAGCAGCCCCGCCTTGAAGAACACCTATGGGCAAGGGGTGGGTGGGCCAGGAGGGAAAAGAAGAGAGGGTTCTTTTAAGCAGTGTAATACCCTAGGAAAGAACTCAAGGGAGGAGGCCAATGGCATCGGGAGCTGGGACAGGGAGTGGTGCTGGATGGTCCATGGGGAAGGGAATCATGAAATTCAGAGATGGTCCTAAGATGATTGGTAAAAGGGAAGGAGCTGTGAGGTGAAGAGCCAAAGGACAAGAGAGGTCTTTCTGTAATCAGCTTGCCTCCTCCCTTCCCTCACCTTGGTGTGGCCGAACTTGTACTGGTTGTGGTCAATGTCCAGGGAGCCCAGCAGCTTCTCTGCCCCTTTCCTGCTATCAATGAACTGGCCTTCAGGGATGGCTGCTGGATTCAGGATGCGGTATCTGGAGAGAGAGGTGCCCTGAGTCACCCATATTCTGCACCGATCTGCTCTGCCCACAGCATTTGGGGCTACCTGTGGACTCCCTTCCCCAACAAGTCTGCCCAGGCTCCCCCTGTTCCCTGAGCTTTAGGGTACCCACCTCTGCCTGAAGTCCCCGTAGAGGATGCGGTTGGGGAAGCCCTTCCTGCAGATGCGGATGCCCTCCAGCACACCGTTACAGCGCAGCTGGTGCATGACCAGGGGGTTGTCTATCACCCCTGCAGCAGGAGGAGGTGGGAGAGGAAGGTGTGGGGAGATTAAGTCAAAGTTAATCTTTGCCAAAAGTTCTGGGCTCTGATTCTGGCTCTGCCACTCACTAGCCAGCAACCTTAGCAAGTCACTTAATAATGGTCCTTTTTTTTTTCTTTTCTTTTTTCCTAGCTGTACTCTTAAGAGTAACCAAAAGGTTTTCACATTCCTTCTTTTATGTTGTGTTTATTTATCATAGGCAGTTGCCAGGGTGGATATGTCCCATTTTCTAGAGAAGAAACTAAGCCCAGAGGAGTTAAGCCCAGAGAGGTTAAGACACTTCACCAAGTTCACTAAGCTGACAAGAGCAGAGCCAGGCCTTTAACCCAGGCCCCTGAGGAACTGGAATTCCTAATCAGTCAAAAAAGGCTAAACAATCTCTGTATGTCTCATTGGGGGTTGCATGCTGGGAGGCAATGCCCATGAAAGTGCCTTACAAGGCCCCCCCCGCCGAGTCACACTGCAAATACAAGGAAATGGGGGGAGAGTAGTCTGCTACCTCATGGTGATGGAGGAGAGTGTCATTTGGAAACCACCATGGTGGGGGATGAAGAGGTGGCTTAGGAGTCCTTGTCCCTAGGGTATGGGGCATGTGGCCAGCAAGGGGCTGGGCTGAGTTCTGGGCCTCACCTGGAGACTTTGTCTCATTGGGGATGATGCAACGCACAAAGTGGGGATGTGTAGAGCGCAAGTTGGTCATCAGCTTGTTCAGATTTTCCTGTGGCCCAAAGCACAGGAGGGAAAAGTAATGCAGGTGAAGGAGAGAGAAGTAGGGAAGGGAGAGGAGAGGAAGGAAGGGAAAAAGAGACAGAGGGAATGAAGGAATGGTGGGAGAGGAATGAAGGAGGGAGAGAGAATGAAGGAGGGAGAGGTTGGAAGGCCAGAGGGAAGAGGAGAGTGAGATGGGAAGCAGGGAGAGAAGAGGCCACCCATGAAGGGGGAGAGAATGGAAAGGAAGAAAGACGAGGAGGGAAAAGGGCCACAGGGAGGGAGGAGACAGAGGAGTCAGGCATGGGAACTGTGGGAAGGAGCAGGGCTGGTGGGTGCTGGGGAGCCATGCTGGTCTGGGGCTGGGGACACACACTTACCCTGTGCAGAGCTGACACGGTCTGAAAGGATGAGCCTTTCTTGGCTTTGCCTTTGCCCTTTTCAATAGCTGTGGGAGGAGAGTCAATGAAAGGGATCTGAATGGACGTGTGGGAGGCCAGGGCCTCCATCACAGACTCTCTCTTTTTTTAAAGATTTTATTTATTTGAGAGAGAGAGAATGAGAGACAGAGAGCACGAGAGGGAAGAGGGTCAGAGGGAGAAGCAGACTCCCCGCCAAGCAGGGAGCCCGATGTGGGACTCGATCCGGGGACTCCAGGATCATGACCTGAGCCAAAGGCAGTTGCTTAACCAACTGAGCCACCCAGGCGCCCCCATCACAGACTCTCTTTACATCCTCGCTGGCATTTGATCTCCAGGTGAGGGTCTTCACTGCGGGGGGCTCAGCTTTCTCCACCTCATTCTATCTCACTGAGCCTGTAAACCTTAGGGCACAACCTGACACAAAAGTGGTAGAGTGTTGCAATGGACTTGCCTCAGGACCATGGCAGAAACCCTGCTCCTTAGTCCCCAGGGTTCCAGTCTCTACTTACGTGCATCAGCCCCCGCATAGTTGGCAAACAGGGTGCTGAGCAACTTGAGGGAGGACTTCTGGTACAAGGCCACCACAGTCTCATTGAGTGGGTCTTTGTTCTTCTGCAGCCAGCCCAGGATGTTGTAGTCCACGGTGCCGGCATAGTGGATCAGGGAGAAGTGGGCTTCCGGCTTCCCCTTGATGTTGCGTGGCTTCTGGAAGTTGCTGGACTTGCCCAGGTGGTTATCAAACAGCTTGGCCTTGAAGGTCATGTCAGTGGCCTTGGGGAACATGCACTCCTCCTCCAGGATGGACATGATGCCCATGGGCTGAGAGTAGAGGGGAAAGCATCACTGAGCATGCTTCATGCAGATGCAGAAGGATCCTGCTCTAAGGTCAATATTTGCTTATGATGATGCCCCTATGGGAATTAAGGTATTAGGCTCAGCTTTGAGTACAGTTATTTGCCGACTTGTACCTGTTCATGCCTTCCCAGAGTGGAAGACTTTGTTTGATTTCAGAGGGACCTTTGTGAAATCTGGGAATGTGGATGTTTTAGATGCTTTACACACCACTCTATTGCCCAGATCCCCGAGATGTTGGGGTTGAACATAGGTATACTCTTATGATTCCCTGCCCCACACCCAAACCAGGTTAAACGAGGGTTGTTAAACATACTGGTATGGGAGGATTTCTGGAGCTGCCCATCCTCCCTGTGTCCATTCCCAAGCCCTTAGGACCTCAGCTCTCCCTGTGCCACCCTGTCCTGGGTGGTCAGGACACAACAGGCCTCGGGCTCCAGATCATGTTCCCCAGCAGGGCGAGGGGCTGCCATTTTGACTGTGGCATTCAGGTAGGGTGTGAGTGGGGAATTCAGGCACTCTGGCTGGGATGCCAGGGGAAGGAAACACAAGCAGTGGGTGGAGGCAGCACCTTCTCAATAAGGTCGATGCAGGCCTGCAGGTCCATGCCAAAGTCGATGAACTCCCACTCGATGCCTTCCTTCTTGTACTCCTCCTGCTCCAGCACGAACATGTGGTGGTTGAAGAACTGCTGCAGCTTCTCGTTGGTGAAGTTGATGCACAGTTGCTCAAAGCTGTTGAACTGCAGGGGGTGGGGGCGGAGCGGGTCAGGCAGGCAGGGGTCTGAGGGGCCAGTGGGGTCAGCCCAGGCCCGTGCCCAAGTCCAGCCAGGGGTGTGACTGGTCCCCTCCCCTGTCAGGCCGGGAAGGGGGAGCTCCCCTGGGAGACAGGACGATGTGTCTGCCACCCCTGAGCCCCACTGTCTCTCCCGCGACTGGCCACTGGCCATGATGGTCACAGGTGCAAATGAGTGAGTCACTGCCCCCTCCCCCGCACATATGCGCCTAGGCTCCCCCCACTCACGTCGAAGATCTCGAAGCCGGCGATGTCCAGGACCCCTATGAAGTACTGGCGTGGCTGCTTGGTCTCCAGGGTGGCATTGATCCGTGTCACCATCCAGTTGAACATCTTCTCGTACACTGCCTTGGCCAGTGCCCCGGTGGCATACGCCACCTGGAAGGTAAGGGAGAAATCAGATGAGCAGATCAGTGCGAAGAGTGAATTCCAAAGCCCCCACTGCAGCATGGCAGCCGCCACCCCATTTATCTCCTGAAGATGACCCACCTGCTGGACATTCTGCCCCTTGGTGACGTACTCGTTGCCCACTTTCACCCGAGGGTGGCACAGCCCCTTGAGCAGGTCAGCTGAGTTCAGCCCCATGAGGTAGGCAGACTTGTCAGCCTCTGGAAGGAGAGGGAAGGCAGTCAAGTTGGTAAAGGGATGATTCCTCTACAGATGTGGCCCACAGCTGTCCCCCAGCATCCCAAACTCCCACCTTCAGTGCCATCTGGCTCAGCCTGCTCCTCTCGCGGCTTCTGTTTGAACTTCATGTTTCCAAAGTGCATGATGGCGCCCGTCAGCTTGTACATGGAGTTCTTTTCCTCTGAAGTGAAGCCCAGCACATCAAAGGCATTCTGTAGGCAGACCCCATATTGGTGAACCCCAGAAAAGGAAGTATGGCAGGTAAATGAGATCCCTCTTCAGCTGGAGAGAGAACTTCTCTCCTGAATCCCTATAGCTTCTGAGATTCCCATACCCAGTGAGGAACTCCAAAATGAAGATGGGAAGTACAAGAGCAGGACGGTGTGCATACTGCCACAGATCTGGCATCAGTGGTCAGAGCTGTCCTCTGGAGCTACTCTGGTTACCCACTCATGTTTTCTACTTTTGTCCCTCTTCTAGGCCCTACACTTGCTTCCTGCTTAAACCTTCCATACCTGTCTATATCTAGTCTTCACTTAATAGCCTGCCCCAACCCCATGGCCACTGCATGACCCACCCCCCTTCCCTTGGTGATGGCTTGCTTCTTGGCTTGTCTGCTTCTCTGTCCCATGGTGTTCAGCCCTTTCTGTTTGCTCAAACACCAAATATTGTCCACCCCATCTCAACATACCCATTCCCCAACACACCCTGGTAATAGGCCATGTTCTGGTCCTTGGGGGGGGGAGGGGTCATACCACTTTGAATAACAGATAGACAGTGTCTCAGCTCTCTTCCTGAGCCAGTGAACTGGCCTCATTTACTCCTCACTGCCAGTGCCCTCACCTCTCGACCAGGTTCTCACACACTTACATCAGTGGCCATGAGCTCCTCAGCGTCATCAATGGAGGCCACCGTGGTCTCTCCTTGGGAGATGAATGCATAATCGTAGGGGTTGTTGGTGATTAGCAGCATGTCTGGGAGGAGAAGATGTGGTGAGGATGGGGCACAAACCTCTGGCTCTCACTGGGGCTGCCTACCACAGCATAGGGCTTGCAGGAAAACACATGACAAGGCTTAATGTGGTCCCACATCCCACAGAACTGAATCCAGCAGTGCCATAAACCCAGGGCATGCCAGCAAGCTGCCGCAAGCGAAGGGGACCAGGTTGCCATGGAGATAGTTGGTCTCGGTTGGTAGCTCTGACTCACCCAGCAGCTCAGGCTTTTTGTTAGACAGGATTTGGTAGAAAATGTGATAATCTCTCTCTGCTTTCAACTGGAAAATAACTCTGGATTTTTCCAGAAGATCTGTGAACAATAAGGGGAGAAGAAAGAGAGAAATTTGGGGATTTAGGTACAGGGAAATAGAGGAAAATGAATGATAAATGTAACAACCAAAAGGTAGAGGAAAAGGGAGAGATGAAGAGAAAGACTCTCATACAGACATGAAGAGACAGAGGTGGAGAAAGACTAGAGGGAGTCTCAGGGGGAGATGAATATACAGACCCAGAGACACAGACAGACAGAGACAGAAAGAGAGGGAGAGAGACTGAAAGGCAGAGACCTAAAGAAAGACATAGATGGAGAGGCAGAGAGAGAAGAGAGAGAGGTTGGGATCATGATCACATAGAATGAGGGTGAGCTCAAGCCAAGTTCTAGCAGATTCATGGCACTCACAGGTCTCTATGTCTGCAGATGCCAACTTTCCAGTTGCCCCAAAATGGATTCGAATGAATTTCCCCTGGGGAGATGGAGGAGACCAGTGATGAGTTGAGGGAAGGCTCATATTTGATACCATCCCTCCACCAATCCAAATCCCGAATCCGAGGTCGGGGACCACTCACGAAGCGGGAGGAGTTGTCATTCCGGACGGTCTTGGCGTTGCCGAAGGCCTCCAGGGCGGGGTTGGCCTCAATGATCTGGTCCTCCAGGGTGCCCTGCAGAGGTCAGGAAGGATGATGGGTGAGAGGCCTACCCCTCCCTTTTTGCAGTGCAGGTCCATGGAGCACAACAGGCCTACCTTGCCTGGAGTCTGATCCTTCTTGCTGCGATCCCCAATGGCGGCAATAACGGCAAAGTACTGAATGACCCTCTTGGTGTTGACCGTCTTCCCGGCCCCGGACTCCCCGCTGTTGGGACAGTCAGGGCCTCATTAGGCAGTGAACAGACACTGCTTGAGACGAACCAGCCTCAAGTCAGGGGAGAACGTCTGGTTCTACTTGACAGTGGGAGCCCCAAAGCAGGAAACTCCTGGGTAATGTGCATCCTGAACACACATGGGATCAGGGGGAGCACTAGGGAAGGATGCCACAAGAAGATGCTGGGTCAAGCAGAAGGAACCTGGTCTTAGCTAGACAAGGTCAATGTGAGGAGATGGGTCTGGGCCATTTTGGAAAAGAATAGGTAAGGGTGGCAGAATGGGGAAGGTTTCTGTAGGTAAAGATGAAAGAAAATGAGGAGGGGTTGAAGACACAGTGATACTGGGCTTATGGATAAGTGAGTGATGAGTTGGAGGAGAGTGAGCATAGGCAATGGGAGAGGAAAACTCCAAGAGGGGTGGGAAGCAGAAAGGAAGCGGGGAAGCAAAGGCATGGGTAAAGGTCACAGAAGAAAGAGGAGCTGGCATGAAGGTGGAGGGGAGTGAGAACTGTGGGTCCATGCATGGGGGCTGGGGTCCATGATGGGGGCTGGGGTCAGGGAGGTTCTGGAAGGGAACGGGTTAGGAGCTACACTCACGTGATCAGGATGGACTGGTTTTCTCTGTCTGTTGGGAGCAAGTGGGGAGGAAAAGTCAGGCGCCACACAGGGTGCTCTTGCCTGGCATCCACCTACCCCCTGCTGCCCCACCTCCCGGCCTCTCTCCAGGCATCTCCCAGTTGCCCAGACCAACTGCGCATTCCCTCCCATGCGGCTCCCGAGGAAACCCTGCAGCCGAGGCCTGTCACCTGTCAGCATGTACTGATAGGCGTTGTCAGAGATGGAGAAGATGTGGGGCGGCGCCTCGCTCCTCTTCTTGCCCCTGTAGGCGGCCACCACCTCGGCGTTGTACACCGGCAGCCACTTATAGGGGTTGACGGTGACGCAGAAGAGGCCCGAGTAGGTCTAGGATAGAGAAGGGGGGTTGAGTTGCTAGTGATGAAGAGGGAGGAATGGCAGGTTTCAGAGTTAGAGAACAATGCCAGGAGGAGAAGAAGAGAAAGAAAAATCTACGAAAGCACTAAATCTGAGTAACCCTAGCCTCGGGGGTATTAGAAATGAACCAGGGATGCAGGGGTGGGGACAGCGTGCAGTAATGCCTGGACACAAAGAACAGAAACTGGGAAGCTACTAGACTCAGAGGGTGTCCTGGATGGCGCACTCACATAGATCATCCAAGAGGCGTAGCGGTCCTTGAGGTTGTAGAGCACGGCGGGCTCGTGCAGGAAGGTCAGCATGGCCATGTCCTCGATCTTGTCGAACTTGGGTGGGTTTTGTTGCATCACCTGGTCCTCCTTCACGGTCACCGTCTGCAACAGCCCCCATGCAGGCCCAACTGTCAGCTCTCCCTCTGCCCAGAAAGGAGTCAGGCAAGTTCTAGGAGAGCAGTGTTCAAGAGAGAAGGACCAGGATCATAGAGAAGACAGATGGGATATTGGGAATAAGAAGGGCTGTTTGGACGGTGTGGACCCCTTCTCCGAAGAAGGGAAATCGGACTGTCCTCAGGTCTGTATGGGATGGGTCCTGGTGGTAACCTCTCTGTGTACCCCAGCTTGGGGGGGAGGGGGTCCGGGAGGGCCTCTCACGCCAACCCTGCCACCTACCTTGCCACTCTCAGTCTCAGCGGTGATTTTGCCACCCTCTCGAGACAAAATTTTGGCCTTGACAAACTCCTCTTTGTCATCAGGCACAAAAACATCTTTCTTGAGGTCAAAAGGTCGGGTCTGGGCTTCCAGCCGCTCCTTCTCTGACTTGCGCAGGAAGGGGGCGGCGGCCCCAAACGCGGCCAACTCCGCATCCACCATGGCTGTGCCTGCAGTGGGTGGGAGTAGAAGATGCTAGCTGCCCTCCCATCCCCCCACCCTCCACTCCCTTCCCGGGCTCTCTCTCCTTCAGAGCCTAGCACTGTCCGCATAAGTCAGGGGCGGGTCACCATGCATCCCTTATTCCTTGAGCTGATCCCTCAACCCAAGAAGGGCCTGGCAAACCTGTCAGGGCAGAAGGGTAGGCTAACTTTTGTTCAGCCTGGGGCTCTCCTAGAGGAGGGAAGAGTGTCCTGGGCTTCTCTGGGAGCAGAAAGCTAACTACGTCCATCTCTAATCCTTATCCCTCCCTGGCTCTTCCCTAGTCACAGGCAAGGGGCTCTTGGTTGCCAAGACACATTCCCCAAGGCAAGGCAGAAACTAGAGTCCCATAGCCTGGCTTTGGGGCTGTCATGGCCAATCTTCCCGGATTCCCCCACACTCCATCTTCAGCTTTCCTTACCTTGGCTTCTCGAATATGTGTACTAGATGAAAGGGGCTCAAGCCTGCAGGGGACCTGGAAAGAGGGCAGGCTGTGTCAGGGTCACCTCCCCGCTGCTCCCTGGCTCTGCCCTTCGGCACTCACCGCCCCCCCAGGCCTGAAAGCAGGTGGGGAGTGGTGGACAGCTTCTCTGGTCCTGTCCTCTGTCTGGCTTTCCAAACACTGTGGCCTTTTCTCCTGAGCGATAATTCTAAAAGTTTCCTGATGTCTATTCCTCCTCCTCCCACCTGGGAGATGGTCCTACCCTTGCCTATACTCACCTAGTGGAACTTGCCTACTTGGAGCCACCTGAGAAACAGTTAATGGTCACATTTGTTCAGTGCTTTACAGTCTCCAAAGCACGTTTATGCACACTCTCTTACTCAATCCTCACCCCATTCTACAGATGAAGACATCAAGGTTAAGGGGCTTTCTTGTCCAAGAACACATAACAACAAGTGGCAGAGCTAGGCCTTGAACCCATGTCTCATGACTCCAAAGCCAGTTCTATTCCATCCTGCCCGCATTTGATTGTCAGTCTTGGTGGACACTCTCTGAGAGGAGACCCTTGCGGGCATCCTCTCAGACACACCCATCACACAGCCAAATGCCCTCCACATGTCCTCTGACGAACACGCATGTCCACTGCTCATGCACATGCCTCATACAGACACGTTGCCTTCCTATACCTCGCCACACACATCCCTCCCAGTGTGCCATCATGCCTTGGCAACAGACACGCACGTTAAGTATGTGTACAGTATAAATAAGGGCAGATCGCTGTATATTCCCAAGTATACAAAGACCTGGAACAGGGCTGCCTGAGTGGCGCAGTCGGTTAAGTGTCCCACTCTTGGTTTCAGCTCAGGTCATGATCTCGGGGTGGTGAGATAGAGCCCCGCGGCGGGCTCCGTGCTCGTTTCAGAGTCTGCTTGAGATTCCCTCTCCCTCTCCCTCGGCCCCTCCTGCTCAAGCTCGCTCTCTCTCAACTAAATAAGTAAATCTTAAAAAAACAAAAGACCTGGAACAGCCACACCATGTGCCTGTGAGCTCCTTTTGCAGGGTGTACACACTCTGTAGCAGTCTCGACTCCTGGATGTGCATACAAGCACCTCCGCGTGTATGGATATGGGTAGTTACCCATGACAGACCCCACAGAACTAGCTTCTGAGCATATATACTTGCTAAGTCATTGTTCTTTGCCATCCTCTTCTCCCTCCCCTCAAATGGACCAGCTATTCTCAGGCATGATCATAAACACGTCTCCTGCTTGATATTTCTGTATCTTAATTAGGCAGTGAGGTACACACCCTCCCCTCACCATGCATTGAGATTGCGCATGCTTGTACACAAAACACACAGACACACACACACACACCTCTAATGCATAACGCATTCTGGTCCCATATGCTCCGATATAGACATTCACACACACACCCCCAATACCTGAGCCCCCCTACTCGCAGGGCACCTACACTCATGTTTAGACCTGCACTTGTGTGCTCAATGATCAGACCTCGTACTCTGCATGAAGCCCTGCATGCAGCTTGCTGTTCCTAGAGGAGCCCCTTCCTAAAGCTGGGGCCCCCTTATCCCAGAGGAAGGCCTCCTGCTCGGCGCTCCTACCTGAGAGCAGCAAGGAAAGACAGAGCACAGGGGAGAGCTGTGGAGCTTGACCTGGTCAGGGGCTGTATATATCAGGCAGCAGGCGACCCCACCCCCACCTGCACCCTGTCCCTAGCCGGATTTAGAAAGGGCTGTTGTCACTAGAAGCATTTCCCCCAGGCTCCCCCCCCTTTCCCCAAAGTGCTCCCCGCCCCGCCCCCCACAGCTAGGAAACAATTGGAAGTGGTCGTCATTGTTATGGCATGGAGTGTGCAGGGTCTGAGTTCCAGGGGGCGGGGATGGCTCAAAGTGCAGCCAAAATATCTCCCAGGCCAGGCTTCACATTCCATAGCTGACAGGAGAGGGGACTGGTCAGACCACCATGACCTCAGGCAGGCAGGGGCCTGGCCCTCCCCCAGGGCTCTCCTGGCCTCTGACACAGCTGCCCCTCTGCCCCCTGCCCCCTGAGCTGGCTCAGCCCCATGCGCAGTGTCCTCTCTGCTTCCTGGCCTGGGTCCTACATCCAACCGTGAGATGGGAGGGGGTGAGTGTCAGCAGCGGAGGGGTAAGGCAGAGCTGGGGACGTGGCCCCCCGGGTGGGGGCTAGACTGGGGCAGCTGGAAGGAGGTTTCCCAGCCAAGTGGCAAGAATGACCAGGGAGCTTAGAGATGGGGACTCTGGCTTGGGCACTGATTTCCTTGGACCTGCCAGGCAGTGTATTGAGGTCACCGAACCTGAGAGCCAGGCAGGCTATTCGTTAGTCCTTCATTTTATGGAGAGGGGAAGTGCCTTCTGTAAGGTCATGCAGCTAGGCCGGGCAGCAAGAGTCAAGGCGGTGGGGGGGAGCTGAGCAGATGGGGGATAGAGGTCAGCATGTGGAGGGAGGGCTGGAAGTCCGAGGCGGCAAGGACCCGCTGTGCTCAGAGGGCAGACCCAGCTGCCGCCTGATGGTCCTAGTGGAGCCCCCCCTGCCTGACTCATTTTCCTAGCTCAGCCTTCAGGTACCGAATGCTCTAGCCCAGAGCCAGACACACTTGGAGGCATAGATAATACAGCTGCTCGGACCTAGGAGACCCCTAATGAAGAGAGCTGCTGCCTGGCCCACCTATCCTCTTGTGTTCTGTGAAGTGGTCTCTCTCCAGACCCGGGGAGACTAGTGTTCTGGCAAGTGGGGCTGAAGGACAGGAAAAATGTCCCCCTTTCCTGCAGGCCCTAGAAGCAGCCGCAAAGGAGGTGAGGAAAGGGGGCTGGAGCTCAGCAACCCCTGAGCACAGAATGTAGCTAATGCCACCCTCTTCTAGCTACCTCGTGTGCAAGCTTCACTGGCTCTGTGTCCGGGCAACCACCGCGTGGTTTACTTTGAAATCCCCCTCCTTCCCGGGCACAGCTCTCCAGCGCATGCGGATTAATCCATCTGATTAGCTGTCAGCTTGGAAGGAGAGTGTCAGGTCAGGCCACGAGGGGGGTGGGTGGGGTAGGTGGAGTGGGGGTGGGGGGGGAACAGGTACATTTTGAAGGTGGGGTAGGCACAGCAGGGGAGGGCAAATCCAGGTGGGGGCCCAGTGAGGGGGGCTGCTTGGTAACCCAAGCACAGTCCTGGGGCCTTGAAGAGCCGTGGGGTGGGGGGAAGGATGCAGGCAATTGGAGGGTCGATCCCCAACCACAGGGGCTGCTGAGGTGGTCTGCACAGGCTCTGCTGCTAACAGGACTGGCAGGACAAACTCTGTGGGTCCGGACCAGGCCCTCTCAGGGCCTGAGGAACTAAGCCCACTGGTAGAGACCTCAGGGTTTGGTGACAAAGGGCAAAAACCTCTCTTTATCCTCCCCTTGCAGGTTCCCAAGCCCAAAGCCGCCACCCCTGCCTGATTTCCCAGGGCTCAAGTGGTGCAGATGCAGGTGACTGAGATGCAGAGGATGCCAAGCCCTTTCACAGTCCGTGTCTTCACCAAGGGCCAGCCTCCTTGGCCGTGGAGTTGGAAAACCTAGTCTACATTTAGGAGATCCGCTGAACTTGGTTTCCTTCTTCTGGGTTTTGGGGGCGCTGACCTATTGGTGTTACAGCATTCTGTGCTCTAACACTCCACTGCAGGCTGGGTCTTACCTCCCTGCTGCCAAGTTCTCTGCCTCACATCCCCAGGCTCTGGAGACAGACTGGAGGGTCTGACATCCTTAAAGACCCCCACTCACGCCCCAGCCCTCGGGCACCTGCTCGTGGCTCTGTCAGGATTCTCTTCCTTCCACTAGCGACTGTCTGAAGACCAAGCAGCTTTGCTGATCCCTTCATTCCACAAGTATTTATTGAGCTTCTACTAATGCGGCATTGTTCTAGTCAATAAGGACCTAAGAGTGACCAAAATAAAGACCCTTCCTCCTGACAGCTCTATGCAACTGTTTGTAGAAGTGGGATCTGGGCCTCAGCTTATGGCCAAGGGCCTTTGCTGGCAGGCACATTCCTGGTGGGGAGAGTGAGGGGCCGGGGCCCCACCATGTGGGGGTGGGTGGGGATAGTACCGCGTGTATTGCAGAGTGAGAGCAGACAAGACAAAGGAGAGCAGAGCAAAATGCTATAAATAAAGAGGGGCTGGGGGGAGGGCAACTTCACCAAGGTAGACCAAATAAGGCCTGGAGAGAAAGGAAGGTGATCTGTCTCCCCTGCCCTGCCCTGCCCTCCCCTCCCCGGCATGGTGCCTGCTTTGTCTGGGCTCTGTCACCACCCTGATCAAGTGTCAGGCCCAAACAGGGGCCATTTGCTGTGACATGCCAGCAGGAGTTCAGAGAAAAAGTTGCTAAAATTACTACCAGGAATGGGGAAGGAGGGGGTGCACCAGGACAAGTTAGAGTGGACCTCGGTATGGAAAGAGGGAACACAGAAAGGAGCCCCAAACCCCAGAAAGGGGAGCAAAAGAGGGGGAGGAAAAGGCAGGGGGCTTGGCCCAGGGAAAGGAATGAGGCATGAGTTGTTTGAGCACATGGGAGAAGGGGCCCACCCTGCGGTGGGGCCGAGCGCTCCTCTCTGCCCACCCCTAGAATCCCTGACCTTGGGGGGACCCCTACCCTGGCTCCACACGAGCCTGGGATTAGGGCCTGGGCTTTGAGCCTGTCTCAGGTTTCCCTTTACAAACAGCTGTTGCTTCTTGTCATTCTTTTGTCTTCCTGCTCGCTCCAGAATCTTTTGTACCCCTCTGCACCCTGCCCCAACTCTCTACTACAGTCTCTGCTTTCTGATAGACAGTGGGCAGCTGGAAAAGAAAGAGGGGAGAGGGCTGGGCTGGGGCTGGCTCAGTTTAGCTTGGGGTCTTTGGGAAGGTGGGTCTGGCCTCCAGGGAGTGTTTGTAGGGGTACAATTCACCAAAAAGGAGGCTTGGGGGGCATAGCCAGTCTAGATTCAAGACTGGAGGCCTCAGAGGGCTTGCAAGGAGCAACCTGGTGAGCTTCCATGTCAGTCACAAAGATCCAGTTTGAAACCCGTCTTCACCATTTCCCAGCTGTGTGTTCAATGTCAGTCACAGAACCTCTCGGAGTCAGTTTTATCATCAGTCACATGGGGATGGTCACATTTCCATTCCAGGACTATTAAGTCCATCAGGGTTTGCACAGGTAAAAGACCTAGCACAGCCCCAGACACATAGTGGGTCCTCATGAAATGGCAGCTTTTACCCTGAGGAACACAGACCTGACTGCGGGTGGTAGGACTGGTTACCTTGCCAGGGGCTCTTTGCTTTTTTGCATCTCTTGCAGCCTCATTAAGTCCACTCAGTACAAGGATGGTCCTGGCCAGGGTAGATCAGCGATCCAGCAATCCCATGGCCTCTTCCGCCCAGCTCGGGGCTGCCCTTGGGAACACCGTGACTGGGAGGCCAAGGGTTCAAACTGTCCTAGGCTCAGTCCAGGCCTGCAGTCTAGCCTTGAAGCCAGGAGAGGCAGCCGTGCCTGACTGTTGCCCATGGACTTGCCCTCACGGAAGGCCAATATGCGAGGCCTGCCAGGAGTCACCCAGGCTCAGTGGTGGTATCGGCCAAGGACATCTGATGGGAACAGAGGCCCCCAGGTGGAGGTTGCTTGGCCATTCGAGTCAACTGTCAGCTAGGTTGTTTTGTGTGTGTCCTGGCTGAGGATCTTAGGGATCCTGGGTGGAGCTGCCCGGTGGAGCTGGGCTGGCTCTAGGATCCAGGAGCTGGGTTGTGGAGGGGAGGCAGGTTAAATTGAGGCCCTCAGAGGTGGGGCTGACCTGGGTTCCTTCAGCAGTCCTAATCACCACTGACCTGGAGCCAGACTTAAGATACCGGGGGGGCTAGAAACTTCTGGAAGGAGAATGGCCAGGGTATTGTGATGATGTGAAATAATTGCGCAAACTGAGAAACAGCATCCCGGAGTTGCCTGCTGGATACTTTGGTGTCTAGAGCTGGAGCCTTATACTGCTCTCTCTCTGCTGGGCCCCAGCTGGGGACCCAGCATAAGCCCTGCTCCTCCACCCAAAGTCCTCTGCTCTGCTCACGGGCATCCCTGGGGCAGTAGCTGCCAGGCCTGGATCAGCCCAAGGTATGGACAGCCCATGCAATTTACAAGGAGCAGATGGTAATTGCTCAGTGAGGAGCCAAACAGGCTGAGTAATCACCTGCCCGCTTCCCCGAGGGGAGAAGGGATCCTCTACTTCATTCTTTCTGTCAGAGGCCTCACTTCCTTAAGCAGGCCTCCCTGGCCCATCACCTATCTTTCCATCTCTACCCCCAACTATAAATGCAGGTGAGTGCACACAGCACACATGCCTACACACGTATACACATACATACCTGTGTATGTGTACATCTCCGCACATGCCTAAGACACAGAGTCTGAGCTACCGTCTATAGCCAGCCTGAAGACACGGCACTGGTGTTCGTGAACTTGCCAGGAGTGCCTCCCTCCCAGCTTCCAGCCTAACTCATCCTTCCTTCCCCCCAGCTGGGTCCCAGTCAGTCACTTAATCAGATGCCTTGCTGCGTGCCCAGTTCTGTGGTGACTACAGAAGGATACATGGCGTCTGACCCACAGGCATTGCCATCACCTCGGGAAACCACAGGTA